TTACCATTATAACTGTTCCCATGTCAGTGTGGCAGCTGTGTGTCAAGGGTGGGGGCATGGAGGGGTGTAAGTAAGGAGGGCTTGTAAAAACATAGCAGTATAAGTGTGAGCAAGTGCCGGTAGTAGGAGGATGTGTTTACTCTGGCAGAGGTGTGAAAGACACTCTGCTGATCTGTCCACCAGGTTTATCAGGACGTCAGCCTGTAGAGGTCAGCGAATATAAGGGGTTCGTGTTTTCTCTGGAATTAATGTTTAAAATTTCACCTTGCTTGACTTTAGTTAGAGAGCGATTTGGTCAATCATTGTAGTTTACATTAATGAGGGATGACAGTTTTTACCATTTCAGGAGGGGCACAGTAATAGAATAATATCAATATTCCTACAAAGTCAGCTGTCAACTCTTTATTTTCTTGCTTTGACGAGATAATCAAATTTATTTCAGTCTATTTTGTTGTGTTGTTGAATCCTGTTATGTCACTCTGCGAATGTCAGTCTCTTACAATTAGATGAAATTTACTGTCCACCTCTGGCCGACCCCTCCAGTACCAGCTATGTTTCACACCTAAGGTGCAGAATTTATCCCTCTCACCTGCCACCTCTCCCGCTGACATGGATACACACTCACAGAACCACACTGAAGTTTTAAACATAGCTAATGTTACCACACAAATCTGAGATAAATGAGACTAATTCAGAATTCAGAAAAGTGACGCTGCATTTACAACTTAGGTTTTATTTTCATTTGCGATGGTCTGGGTTGACTGGAAAGCGGTCCAAGACTCACCAAGACTTAAGTCTGGCAGTGGTCTTGGAAACAGGAAAAGTGCTGTCACTAACCTCAGTGCCCACTCAACAGAGGCTACAGCCTATTTAACCACTAAACATGCCTTTATTAGTCCACATTAATATGCAGTTACAAGAATGAGTGTTGGTTACCTTCATCAAGTCTTCCCTTCTAATGCTGTGAAGCACACTTAGCAGACTTTCTGAAATATCAACCAAAACAACATATTCTAATAGATTATACTTGTGTATTTCTACACAAGTATAATCACCATGCTTCAGTGAAGAATAGCTCTTCTCTGTGAGGGTTTCAGTTCGCTTAGTGGTCAGAGATCAAGGTGATTCTTTCACTGTCACGTCTCCAGGGACACTCCGCAGACATTAAATCTTCCTGAAATTAAATTCAGGAACTATTTTAAAGGGGAACTCCACATTTTTTACACATCAAATTCTGTTCCTAGCTCTTTGGGAGTGCTACTGCTTATGTGGAAAAGGTTGTGTTAAGCTTTTTGTGGCTCCAGAGGCAGCCACAAGAGTAGCATCAGCTGGGCCTGAAAGACTACAAGTTTGAAAATGAAAAAAATCAGAGGGTGTAGAGTTAGAAAGAAGTGAGTTCACCAGACCTCCGTAACTGCTCCTCGACTCTGCTTAAGGCGAGCGGCTCAAGCCTACATTAGCAGCTATTAGCATACGTAGGGTTGCCTTGTGGGTAATGTAGTCACCAGGCTTTGACAAAAAAAGAAGAATGTGTGGTATAAAAATGTTGGTATATCTGGTTCTGCTGCATCAATTTTGATCCTTACGTGTAACTGCCCGTGGTGAGTCCGACAGTGTTATAGGTGTACAATGCTAAGTCGGCGCTCTCTTAATGGTTCAGTGTGTAAAAGCTGTTAGTTTTTTTTTTTTTTTAAGAAAAACAACAAAGAACAAAGAACAAAAAACCTTCTTTCCCTCTCTTAACTTTGGAGTCCAAAATAATTAGTGTCTGTTGAATTTGAGTTTACCCAAATTAGGATACCACTAAACTCAGGAAATTCACAACAGTGAACTACTGCACTTACATCCTTACAGGTCACACTGAACAGGTTTTCTGTTAAAAAGGGGTTCCCAGTAGAAGGTCTTAAAGGGGAAAGAAAGAAAATAAAGTATTTCAACAGCATTTTGTTTCTCACATTTACTGTTTTATGCATATATACTGATTTGCTTGTTGCTTGTTTTTATATATTCTCATACTTTTAATATTTTCACTCAGACTGATACTAGTCAGTATTCTGACTAAATTGAACGCTTCCTATATCGTTTTACTTTCCTTGATACATTTCTACTTTATATGGTCAACTGTTTCACTCCTTTCCTCTAATCTTTTTTTTTTTCATTCAAAAACTATTTGCTGTGGCGTCAGCCCAATTTCCCCACAGAAATCGTTTAAATTTGATTTAATTCCAAGCGGAGGGAGCACACTGGAGGTTGTGGTGAGGTTGATGGACATGGGAGGCCCAGACAGGTGGCAGGCAGCCCAGCCTCAAAGCCTGCTGTGGGTGGGCATCCACCCAGAGGTGCCAAACTCGCAGCCAGGCTCCCACAGCTTCACCTCGGTCAGGGTAACCGGCAGGGTCGCACAGCGAGTTCAACCCCAGTTCACCCTGCCCTCAGCCTGACACAGCACATATTTTTACATTAGTTTGTTTAAAGTCATGTCATGTATTTTATCCTCAGCTGATTCAGTAATATTATCCATCTTAGGCACTTTATCGCCTCTCACTATTCAACCTATTTTTCATAATCTAAGGTCCCTGGAGCTGGAAGGACTTGAGTTCTCTTCATCTATAAACGCCAGACAAACAGCACTTTAGACAGTTTTGTGTTTCCTCTGTTTGTTCAATTGAGTTTTTTTTTTGTTATCTGCATTACTGCAAACCAGTTCTCCACCAGGGAGGATAATACCTTGATACTGAGCCAACCACAGAGTGCTGATGCTTCATGGAAACTGAGCTGAGAACAACCAGAATCGTCCCCTGCATCGAGCAGTTTTAGGTTTTATGACAGGACTGATGTTAAGATGATTTAATAAACCACAGAGACTCCACAAAAAATGACAGACAAATTGGCTCGTAACTCAAAAAGCATAGATACACACATTCAGCATTCACCCAGACTGATTGTTTTGTGTACATATATATTATAAATATTCTACTGCTCTCTAATTTGTTAAAGACCAAATTTAAAAAAAAAAGAGGTTGAGGAAAACATGGAAAAGAGAGAGGCGATGGGGACAGAGAAGGTTAGCAGCAACAGCATCTTCCAGCATTCCTGGTTCTCACAGCTTAGGTGTGAAGTGACGCCTCCAGACTCATCAGTTCTCATCAGTGTGAAACCATCACACCTCTGCTTTAACTGGATAATACAAGTCATTATGCTTCATTAAACCTCAGCGTATTTACATTTCGATTTCCCACCATGCGGGACATAGGTTTTCTGTCCAGAACAACAGAGAACAGGAGCAGCAGTAGGATAAGCTTCAAGATAAAGACAGTGAAGGGTTAGAGATGACAGCCGACGCCTGAGTTGCTGTGACTATAAAATGATCGTGCTGGTGAGAAATGGTGGGATATAAAGTGGAGAAGATCAAGAGAAGGGTAGAAATCACTGCTGTCAGGTTCAAGGTTGGAGTGAGGTGATGAGGAAGAAGAAGGGAGTTAGGACAGGATCATGTCTGCTCTCTTAATGATAAGAAAACTCCAGACTTCTAAGCCACTGACATGATGGTGTGCATTTTTTAACTCAGCTAGTGTCAGTGCTTTGCTTTACCTGGTGAAGCAGCATGATGTTCTAGTCAAAACAAAATAGAGCAATATGATTTACGCACATCCCAATACCATATATGTAAAAATCCAACAATCCTTTTGTTAATGTTTCTCAGGCACAAAGCGCACAGTGTAAAACCCTAAACCCCTACGTACCATCCTATATATACTGTACTCTTGACACTGTGTCTTCACATAGACATAGACTGAATAAGAAAGTTGGATTTTAGACCTTTTCTGTAAAGGTCATTTTATTGATCTTTTTTTTTTCTTTTTATCAAATAGAATTATATACGTACTTCTTTTTTAATAGCGTAATTAAAAATTAGTGGTGGAAGAAAGACTCAGACTCTATATTTAAGTACATGTAGCACCACAATGATAAAATAAAACAGCGTCGTTTGAGCAGCATTTTTTTTATATTGCGGTTGATTGATGTCGAGTCAATTCTAACTTGCATCATATTTGCATCATATGTTTTAGACTGGTCATATGTATGTTTGTATGTAAAATCTGAATCTGGATAAGTACCATGTTATTATGGCAGGTGAAGTAAAAAAGTATATTTTCCCTCTGAAATGCTGTGAACTAAAAGTATCAAGTGATATGAAGTTTAATTATCCAAGTGAAGTGTATCAGAATTATACCTCATTTTTATTTATTGTTACAATAGACTGATGTGTATTTGGTGGTAATGGATCCAAAAATCTTCATAAAGTTTCACATACTTCTCCTGTATTGTAAATATTTTGGATTAAATGTTGACATAAATGATGGAAATTTTTAATTTTGGTCTCGTACCTTTGCAGGATATTACTGTATGTACTGCATAGATCTTCCTGGTCATATGTTAAAAGCTGGTTACTAAAGAAGTTGAGAGCAGTGACTCTGTGTACAGGCAGCCCTCTTCTGTACGGGTTTGTCACTGGTTTATTTTTGCAGTGTATAGCTTCTTCACACGTTCCTGTTATATTGTTTAGTTTGAGAACCAGTTCTTAGATCATTCAAAACAAACCCTATCCATGCAACATGTGCAAAATACATCTGAGTTTCTGCAGGGAAAAAACCCAAAAAGCAAAAACTGTTTATTGTTTTGAGCAGGAGTCAAAATTCACACTTCCACTCCTGAAGCTGAACTTTCCCAGACTCAGAGGAGAGGCAGAGACAGGGGCAGAGGGAGAGAGACAGAGACAGGATCCCGGTGAGGGAGCGTGTGTGTGTGTGTGTGTGTGTGTGTGTGTTTTCAGGGGCAGTGGCCTCTGCTTTAGACACTGATGGTTTGTGAGAATCTGCGGAGGTGTCACTTAACACCTCTGTGGCCTGGCCTGGACTTATAAACCAGTGTGAAGGAGCTGAGAAGCAGTCACAGCTTCCCAGTCTCTCCAGTCAGACCACTGAGTCCCTCCACACAACATGGATACCTCTTCGGTCCCTCTGCTCAACTACGGCCTGCAGTACCAGTGGTGCTCAGACTCAGACCTCTCCAGCATCTCCTCTTCAGAGACCCTCTCCCCTTTCCACTCTATGGACTCCAGCCTGTCTCCTTCCTACCAGCAGCCTCCACAGTCCACCCCTAAGGCAGCGAAAACTGGATATTCCCAGAGCCTCAAATCCTCCACCTTCTCCCTGTCTGGACGTGGCCGGAAGTCGGGCCGAGCCAACCGGATCCGCAGCAAACAGAGGGAGAGCGCCAGCGAGAAGGAGAAGCTGAGGATGAGGGATCTGACCAAGGCTCTGCATCACCTCAGGTCCTACCTCCCGCCCTCGGTTGCCCCCGCCGGACAGACTCTGACAAAGATTGAAACCCTCCGCCTCACTATCCGCTACATCTCCTACTTGTCGGCCCAGCTGGGCCTCAGCGAGGAGGTGCTGTTTCAGCGAAGGGAACAAGGAGACACCTCGGCAAGCGACACCTCCTCGCCTGACATCCTCAGCTACTTCCAGCACGGCTCCATGGGAGGTCAGGAGGCCCAGCTCCAGAACCAGAACCTCAACCTCAACCAAAGCCTGTACCAAGCCCAGTGTCACAGCCAGAACACCATGCTGCACTCTGGGAGCTGTAGTTTTGGAGTGGATCAGTACAATAAACAGTACGGTGAAGCTCCTCAGGGAGACATCAACATGGATACCATCATGCAGTCAGCTCCAACAACACAGCCCTCCTGTCAGGTATGTCAACATTTACTCATTAACATTATCTGTGACACATTATTTATGTAACATCACACATGTAGCATCAGACTGTACAAAATGCTAAGATATTTCCTGTTTTTTTTATTTTTTTTATACAGATGTGTGGCAAAGACTTCTGCATCCCGCTGGTTCCCAGAGAGTATTGGGGCTAAACACTCCAACACTGTGTGATCATCGTCCAACAACAGACACAAACTACTTCACTGTTTTTACTGCCTCACTGTGAATCAAGTAATTTATTTGAAATATACTATATATGCTATTCTACATTTTATTTATTTTGTCCTATGAAATGTTCCTTGTAAATATTGATATGTCTAACAGCTATTTTTATATTTCTTTATACCACTATTTATAATAAAATATTCAAATGTCATCATGTCTTGTCATTATTGCTTCCCATGATGCAATTCACTGTCTCTCATTCATCATTCTGAAAGGTATTCATTATTCATTATAACTGTTACTAATGGTTGCGTATAAGCAGTTTGTTAAAAAAAAAATAAAAAAAATAGAATCCAGGGGGATTGTCTGTTCTTTAACCTAGTGATATGAGGCAGGAGGAGGCTGGTGCTTGTGGGAAAATGAACAGAGTGCCCTCTCCTGGTCACACAGGCACAGTGGATCTGCACATCCTCAACAAGGGTCTGGATGAAAACACCAGTGTTCTTAATGATGGTGCTCACAGTGAAGCACAGAAGTACACAATTAAAATAAATTGCTAAGCCTCCCAGTCACTTTTTGTTTAATCATGTTGTAGCTGCCACAACAAAATATTCAGTATGAAATGAAGTGGATATGTAAAAGAGGATGGGATTTAAAGCTTGTTCAAATCGTACGCACATGCTGACCACATAAAGGATTATTGATATCTTATTTTATGATACAAGATAAAGATTAAGCATTAGAGGCAGTGATCATTTGCAGTTATCAGTATCTGGAGCTCATACCTCCTATTGACAAAAGACAACTCAGCTCACAGCTGCATGTCACAGAAACTGTCAGATGGAGGTTAAAGCCTCACTTTGTCCCTTTGTTTCACATAAAGTAGCTTTAAAATGGTTGAATAATCATTTTTCAAGTCTGTCTATAAACTATTGTTTATTATAAATTGTCATGTGCCCACATGAATCAATGTTAATGATACTAAACAAGAAAATGGAATTCATTGGAGCATATAAAAACAATAAATACTTTGGATTTTGAGGAAGGGGTGTGGAGGGGGGCTTTCATAAAACACTATTGTGTAACATTGTGTAGTGTAGGATACAAAATAAAGTCATACACACAGCAGATAAGTCATATAAGTTTGATAATGTCTTGTATAAATATATCATATTATATTATATTATGTTATATAATTACTATGGCACAGAGAAGCTGCACATAATCCTATGAGAGTGTTACTGTAATGGCGTGAGATACATCAGAGACTTTGGTCTTTCCAGAACCATTGTAGTAATTTCCTGTCAGGGTCTGAAGCATGTGACATGTGAGTAGTCGAAGTAGCACACCAGAGATCAGCCTCTGCCATGGGTTATCTAGTTTATTTAGTGTACCTTTGTTAATGTGGCTCAGCAAACACAGAGAGGTCCCTGGCACCGCTAAGTCTAGACTAAGATATAAGATCCTCTCTACTCTTTGCCCCCTTCTCTCACCCACAGCCCTAATTACCTGCTTAAGCCAACGGAGGGGCCTTTAATATTCATAGAGAAGTGTGGATCTGCATATCAGGCTGGAGAATTAGGCCTGCGTGTTTAGCTTGCCACCTACATGCAGTTCATTTGATATGCAAGCAGCAAACCTAACACAAAGCCTAATATACTCACTTAGGTCTTTCATCACAGTAAAGCTAATAAACTCTCCTGGCTAAAAGGGTGTGGGATGAAAGGGTTAGCACTTTGGTGCTGATTATTCCCTCATTACATGTGAGTAAACACCGTCAGAGCTAATGTGGATTAAGAGAAGGAAGATCCCCTCTATCATCAGCCTGGGAGGGAAAAAGAAAGTTGACAGCTGGGGGAATTCATAATGAATAAATAATTAACTGATAACAGTTTATAATTTGATACAGAAGTAGAATTAGAGAGGCTCTCTTCTGAAAAGAAAAGAAAATGATAAATAAAATAAATATTTAGGCAGAAAAATGAATATCTGGAATTCCTTTTGAAGATTTTTTTGTGGAACACTGCAAGGATCTTTACAAGTTTCAAACTTCAATCAACCAAACATTTAACTGCTAATGATTAGTTGCAATAAGTGCTATCAGTCACTCTTTCATCAGATGATACAGACTTTATTTTTACGTGTTTTTAGGGCAGTAACCAGTATGTTACAGTGCAACAGGTCAGCAAGAGGGAAATGACAGTCACAATGTAACAAGAGAACTTATAAACAATATAACATATGAATATATGAGTTTTAAATGATGTTGTTTCCAATAACTCATCTAATGTCATGTCACAAAAAGATGGAGGGGATTCAAAGGTCACTGGAGGAAGTAGTCCTTGGGTCAGTTATCAAGTCTGGTGTCACCTCACACACTTTCCTGCTCAAGGAAAATGATAAAAGAAACAGAGAAACAAAACCACTGCTTCGGCAAAATCATTTTCACTGGTAGTTCAACAAATCCTGTCCTCAGAAGACCTTTATTATTGCTTTTGGCATTTTTTCCTAAATCTTTTTGTTGTTGTTGTTGTTGTTGCTGATGTTGTTTTTGGTTTTTTTGCATAAGTGAGCTGGTGGAGAGCTGTGTGTGCGAGACCGATTCACACGTCCCAATCATGGGGTTCACCAGGAGTCAAATGTGACACGGTGGTTTGTGGGAACACTGCTCAGGACTCAGATCCACAGTCCACACCTGACATTCAAATCCTCAGACCTGCCAGAGAGAAGCCAGGGGTCAGGAAAGTAAAACCCCACCTCTGCTTGAATATGAATTGTGTGACTGAAAACAAAATACACCATCGGGCATTAGTTTAATTGTTTTTTAAGTGTTTTTTGTGTGTATGTGTTGTAAATGTTACTGCTATAGAGTCACATTTGTGAGATGTCAAGTTCAGTTCAAAACTCTCTTGTCCCACAACAGGATTATGTTTCTGTTTTTTTCTTTTTTTTGCAGCATGGCTTGAGAAAATATATAAATAATAAAAACACAATCAGTCAAGTGAAAGACATTAAAACGTGCTGTTACTGTACACTGAATACAGAATATAAAATAGAAAGTCCGTGTGATATCTGATTAAAGATTGTATTATATAAATATAAAATTACAATATATCATATTATATATGAAATATTATATATAACAAGATTATTCTGCCAATGAAAAGTCTGACTAGATAACAGACACAGTCCTAAGATATATAATGTGCTTGGCAGTTGTTACGGATGCTGCGCATTCTTTCTATGAGGATCCAGGTTCCCAGACCAGTGAGGCCTACTACTGTCCAAACAGGATGAGGTGTAAACTCCTCACACCTCCCAGCTGCCCCGGCACACTTCTCCTGCCTGAGCTCACAGGGAATCAGATACCACGGCAGAAAGAGCAGCTTTAACATGTAGAACTGCTAAATTATGTTCAGCGTCACACTAAACAACATTTACATGTGGATGTTGAAAGGACACAGCGTTGACTCCTGTGTTTGACTGAACCTTCTTAGTTTATTCGATCAGACACTCATAAAAACATAATTGGATATGTTTTGGTGACAAATCCCTCAGGTTCACAGACAGACCTGAGACCCAGGTACAGCCCCTGTCATGGCAGGGTCATGTTCCCAGGCTGCAGGAGTGTATAGTGTGAATCAGACTACTTTATGATGCTCGTGCGAGCTGCCAGGTCACACCTTGCACTGGAGCTGGCCGGTTTCCCATGGGACCCCCTGGCCAAGGTGTCAGCCTTGCTCCCAGTGCTTCTCAGGACCAGAGGTGGCTTTTGGAGGTGCAACCTCACACCTCCCACCACATATATGGGGTAGCTTCCCTCTTCCTCCTCACTATCTTCTGACTGCCTCACCAGCAACTCACTGACAACTCACTGCTCAAAGAACCTACAGCCATGGAGAACTCTTTCCTGTTTGACTGCGAGTCCCTGCTGGAGAAATGTTATGATCCTGTGACCTACGATCCAGCCTCCGACCCTGGTTACTTCAGCGCAGGCAGCAGCCTGTCTCCCACCTCGTCTGTGGACTCCTTTTCCTTCTCCCCCACCTCCCTCCAGGCTGCCGGAAATGAACAAGACGCCTTGGACTGTCTCCTCTTCAGCAGCTCTGAAGCACCTCGTCTTACCCACGAGACACAGACTCTGCCCTGCTCCACCACAAAGAAATCAAGGTCCAGGTATCCGGGGAAGAAGCGCCAGACAGCCAGCGAGAGGGAGAAGCTGAGGATGAGGGACCTGACCAAGGCAATGCATCACCTCAGGACATACCTCCCACCCTCAGTGGCGCCCGCCGGCCAGACCCTGACCAAGATCGAGACGCTACGCCTCACCATCCGCTACATCTCCTACCTGTCGGCCCAGCTGGGCCTCAGTGAGGAGGTGCTGGAGCAGAGGAGATACTCGGGCTTCATGGAGCAGCCCCAAACCCTCAACCAGTTCCTGGGTCAGCCAGCAGCCAGCTACAGCCCACAGGAATCAAGCTGTAATACCATGAGCACAGCCCAGCTCTCCTCTCTGCAGCACGCATATCAGGTACGTTCAAGTCATGGTTACAAGCATTTACATTTTAAGTAGAGGATATGCTTTACAGTTGTTCTCTGGAGTGTTATAGTTCAATGAGTCTCTAACCAAACTCTGTTTTCTTTTACCAGGTTTCTAGTGGAGATTGCTTCATCAGCGAGCAGTACTGGTCGCCACAGCAACAACTAGAAAATGTCACATTCTCTGGACAGTGCTGAGACATATGACTGTCGGTCCACTCAGCTATTTTCATTGCAACAATGACGCCCATCAGTATTTATGGACAAAACTTCTCATTTTTGTTATTTTGAACAAAATGTACTTCTATGTGTTTTTGTATATAAAACTGTATATTTATTGAGCTGTCACAGTGTGAACAGAATAAACATTATTATTCATAAAAACTCTTGCGCTTGTTGTGGTATTTCCTTTTATCAGTCCAAACTCTACAATCTACACGTATAAACACATGCAGACTTGATGCTTGACTCCACTTCCTTACACAAACACAGCAGCTGTCAGCAGGACACTGAGGTGTTAAACAGGGAGCACATCCCCTCTAAAGACTTTAAGGAAAGACCCCTACTGAGAGAGGTGGCAGCTGAACTAGGACCAGTTAATTGGCACCTCTTCTATCCATCGTAAACATGTCTGGTTCGTGAGACCTTGAAAAAAAACCTCATGATAAATAACTGGCGCTCGACCAGGTTCAGAGACTTGACCAATTACGCTGTCAAATAGGTTTTATTTCTCTCCCGGTTCTGATTGTCCCAAACTCTGTTGTGTTTAGATTCACACATGACTTACAGCTTAATATGGTCATAAGCTATGTTAGTCTACAGTGGGAGATGTCCGCTCCACTTTCTGAATTGATGTTTCATACTGTTCTTATGTCAACAATCTGATGTGCAATATTGTCCAGATGTCTGCAGCTGCTCTACAACCTCTAGCCGGTACAAAATCTCAGCTTGCTCTCCTTCTATTTGTTCTCAGAGGCAATTGTTCAAAGTGCTGTTTAAATGTAAAGGTACAAAATGTCATAATTTAAAATGGCTTTTATTTCACAGTCTGGCAAGATGCAAAAAAAAACAAAAACAAACAAAAAACAGTGAGCACAGAATATACCTTTTTTTGTGTTGCTAAATTCTGTGATATTTCAAATGTTGTCAGGGACAGTACATAAATCAAATAACACATTTTCCAAATACAAAACCAGATTTAGATATCAAATAATCTTGAACCACATAAAGGCTTTATCAAAACTTTACATTAAAAAGTAAATCTCCATCATATTCAGAATATACATTATATTTAAGAATAAATTTGTCAGTGTGTTTGCGTTACTAAACTGGAGAGGAGGCCTCATTGGTGAACCATTCGAGCACCTGTTTCTCGTTCATGGCCACCCAGTTCATGTTGGCTTTGGTTCTCTCCAGCGCCTGCTCAAGAGACGCGGTGCCCGAGCCGAAGTTCCCTGCATTGTCTTCTTTGAACTGCAGCAGCTAGAGAGGAACATGGTGAAAAGATTGGGATTTAACTCTGGGACATACAGCATATAGAGTGTAGTGTAGTGTGTCAACATGAACAATTATTGTACAGAACATCTAACACTATAGGACAACCTTTAGTCATAGGAATATTTACTTATATAACAACACTCGGATATAGAGTTTGAGCTATTTGTACTTTTCCTATTTAATGCCACTGTATACTTTTATTCCACTACAGTTTGGACAGAAATATTGTATTTTTTACTCTATGTGTGAAAATTAAGTTACAAATAAAAATTTAAAACATCATCAGTTATATGTTTAAGTCATTTTTCATGCAAAAATGCCAAACATTACATGGTTCCAGTTTTTTCAATGTGAGGATTTGCTGTTTCCCTTTCTTACATTAAAGTGAGCTGAACCATTTGTGGGTTTCGAGTATTGGTTGGACAAGGCAAGTAATCTGAAGGTGTCACTTTGGTCTCAGGGAACTTGTGATGGACATTTCTCACAATTTCATCAACATTTACATGATCACATGATGATTTCCTGTCTCAGCCAACTACAACAATAAAATGCTGCTTAGACATTAATGCATCAGTAAGAATTATCTTATGATATAATATAATAGCATAACATTCACAGGGGGCATTTTTTGCATTGAATACTTTTTCTTTTGATACTTTAAGTACATATTGCTAATAATACTTGTATGACTACTTGTAATGGAGTATCTTCATAGCGTCACATTGCTGCTTTTACTTAAATAAATACTTCCTCCACCACTGGTACCTTACAAACATTGGAATCAATGTCATCAATATTAATTCCATCAGAAATTAGGTCCTGCAAATAAAACCAAATATAGATGAAACTGTACCTGCTTGTACTCAAATTCAGTGGAGAAACGTTTGGTCACTCCATCAATTAGTCTTCCAAAGGAAAATGATCCACCACCATAGCTGAAGAAAAGAAAAGACGAAAATAAGATCATTTTGGAATCAACCACGGACTGTGTTACCCAGCTGTTTTGTTGTTCTTATTTGTGTTTGCTCCATAGCAATGTGTCAACCCTGGCACTGCTTTCCTCCTCTAGCTGAGATACACAGCACAAACTCACTCATTGAATATGTGGTTCCAGTTGGATCTGATAAAGTCCCAAGCCAGAGGTTGACCGATGGGGTTACTAGCAATGTAGACGATGGTGAAGGTGGCATCCTGCTTACGGATCTTCTTTGGGTCCAGACAATACTTCAGATACCTGAAACACATTCACAGTGAGGTCAAAAGCCAAACACGCACCACCATAATGCTGCAGTGACCGCTCCAAAAACACACAAAAAAACACTAAGTACAGAAGGTCTTCTCATTTAGAGCAGGCTGCAGAGTGTAACATCACTATAAGAAGCAAACAATAAGAAAAGGAAACATTATCCAGCATGATGTCAGTGCTACTGACCTGTTCAGCAGCCAGGGCTGTTTGGTGCATGACAGAGCATACATGAGTTTATCAGCTTCTGAAGCGATCGTCGCGTTCTTGTACATGGACCAGGCAAAGTCCCACTCCTTCTCTCCTCCTGCTGCAATTGCACTGCAGTACACTGTGGACTTCAAGTTGGGACTAATCCTGGAAGGTTTGAAAAAGACGGGAAAGAGTTAAGGTGGTGTCAGCAGTGGCTAAGACGGGATCAGGGAGGTCATGAGGGAAAATGGTTGGGCACAAAGTAATGAAAGGCAAAAACAATACTTGAATTAAAATAATGCACTTGACAAGTTTAGAAAAGTGTGACATCTTAATACCTCGAGTGAAAATGAGGAGGACAGGAAAAGGGACACATAAGAAATTAAGAGCATTTGGAACAGAAAGAAAGTGAGGAGTGTGAACACACGTGTTGTTAGCTTTGTTTTCCATCCACTCTTTGAACCAGCCAGTGGTCAGATTATTACAGCCTTCTACACCAGTACTGCAGGCCAAGGAGATTGCATTCACCTGATTGTACCTGGATAGGGACAAGAGAGAATACAAGGGTCAAGAGAATAGTCGAACAAATGAAGTCATCCATTAAAACAAGGCCCAACCAAATAAGACTAAGAGTCAGCTCTTTGAGGCTATACATATACTTAAGCTAAATACGAATAAGCTCACACTGACAATGCCAACATGCTGACGTTTAGCAGGCATTATGTTTATCAGAGCCTGTATTTATCAAAGAGCTAAAAGAAACATTTTGGATTTAAGTGAAACATAAAAGAAAATTCCTGCATTTTCACTCCTACTCACCATCTTAAAAAGAATAACAATAATTTATCAAATTGATTTTGATGTAAAATTTCAGAGAGCACCAGAGGACAGCATGTATCCTGGATGACTGCAGTGCAGAAACAGAGCCAAACACACCTCTGGTTTCGATCATTTGATTGATGGGATATTACACTGCTTTTTAATGTTTTCCTTTTTTTCTGGCATTTATCAGGGGTGCAAAAAAAACAGAATAAATCTGCCATCATCTTTATCTGCACTCCTCAGCGTGGTACTGCTGTACATTCGCCTTATTACATCATTTGTCTGACCTACCTCATCTACCAACAGCATAAAGTCCTGCAACAGAATTTTGTTTCCATTTCAGGCAATTTACTCTTATTTGATCCCTAGTTATATATCATGATCATTGCAACATTATGACAATAATGTATCAATCCAATCCTGCGACAAATACATGTGTGTTAAGAAGGCATGTTAACATCCTTACTGGTCAGTGTGGTTTTCAGGGATCTTTGTCCAGTTGACAGTGAGATCTTTGAAGTAGTTAAACAGAGGCGTGACCTGTTTCTTTATGTAAGCCTGAGGAATGAACATAGTGTCAGTTGTTAATTTGTATTTCTGCTTGAAAAGATAAATGTGTCATTCAGAGATAATTAACTAGAGTTACATTTATACAGTATAATTTAAATACACTACAAGTGCCATTAAACACTTGTTTCTTTGTTAATTCTTCAGGATCAGCATCAGAATTAATTAATTTATCAAGTATGCTGTTGAGTATTCTTTACAAACCTGCATGGGTCCATACACTTCACTGCGGTCAAACATGAGGTAGAAGTAGTCCAAGTTGCGCCTGGCTGTCTGCCATGGCATGTATTCTACTTCTTTATGGAGGAACTTAGTAGTCCTCAAGGCCAGAGTTGTGTTCACCGTCTTTGCCCTAAAAATATCATATATAACTGCTCTGCTCTCTCTTTCAATATTTGATATTTGACAACAATTATTTGTAAAAAAAAAAAAAAAAAAAAAAAAGAAAAGAAAAGAAAAAAAAGGCATTGTTGGTAAAAGAGTATATGATCTCACCTTGCAAGGTTAAAAGCATCATCGATAATTTGAGCCCGGTTGATCACTGGAATATCCTGAAAAGTGAACACAGACCTGATTTAGAAAATCGAGTTTGGAGGCATGGGTCATCATTTAGGAACACTGCAGCAGCATAATTTCCAGTTGCAGGTACCGTATGTTTGGAGCCCAGTTTGGTGAGGAGACGCTCCCAGTTGTCAGAGTCGTAGTTGACTCTGTAGAAGCCTCTCATATCTATGTTGGCCACCAACCACTCATCAACACCAAGAGTCATGTTCTTGTTTGTAGCTGTTTGGAACGAGATGAAAAATGAATGCATCTTTTTCACATTGTGTTCATCACCCTTACATCTGCTCTGAAAATACACCTGAGATAAATCTTA